TCTCTCTCTCTCTCTCTCTCTCTCTCTCTCTCTCTCTCACACACACACACACACACACACACACACGCACACACGCACACACACACACACACACATACATGGTAGCAGTACTACTTGGTGGTGGACATCTCGCCACTCAGGCAGGATGTGCAAAGGACAACACACCAGCACAACTCTCTCTTCCACCCTCTACCTCCATGCCGCACTCACAGATGAGGTCCCTACCCAGCTGAAACCCTCAAAAGGGCCCTTCATGATGTAGCGCCAACCACTGGAGTGAGGGTGACAGTCCCCCATAGTCGAAGTTAAGTCTTCATGTTGATTCCCTCCTCCCTCCTATTCCGCTACTGAAGCCACCTACTTACTCCCGTCCATGGACCAACGTGGGCTCCCCTTCTACTCCCCCATAGCCAACTACCTCTCCTTCCTCACTAATACGCCCATCACCATCACCATGGCCGCCTTCTTCTTCAACCTCTAGCCCCTTCTCCAGCTTCCTCATGCTCCGCCAGTTCTTTTTCATGGCGGAGCAGCAGCCTTGCCACTGGGCAAATCACTGGAATGTACTTGGCAGTTTCTCCTCATATATCTCGAAGTCCAGAAGCCGACTACACTCACCTCTCGCTATGCCTACGCGGAAAAGACAAAGAAAAAGCAGCTCCTAACTATAACTGGGCCTACCTGCCTTCTCCTTTTGGCAGGAGCATTGCAGGCTTTAAGTGTACCCAAAACCAACGAATCGGGACTCCAAACGACCCGAGGTACGGCCTGCTGCCATCATTATGCCTGTTGCTAACCTGCCGGACATGGACCTCTCCGACTTACACGAATATCCCTACTGGGTTCCTGCAATGTTACCTCCATGTCCCTGTCCGTACATTCGCACGCTAGGTCAAGTTCCAATCCTACCCCTCCAGGCCTCCAAATTGCCGACCTGACCGATCCCCTCAACAAGCTCCACGTCAAACTTAACGACGAGAGTCAACAGACCTACCTGTCTGCTTGAGCCAACGCACTAAACGACACCTACGAGTTCAGCATTGAAAGCTAAGCCCTTTCGCCGGCACCCAGATCAAAGCACAAACCGACAGGTGAGAAAAGCAAGCATTCAGGCAACCCAGAATTCACAGCAATGGACAGACTCATCTAGACAAGCCATTTGGTTTTCAAAACAATCTCAGAAATCTCAGTTTAAACCCAGGCAAAACTTAGGATCTCAACAGACACAACCCCGCTCAGATTTTTCAGACAAAAAACTGTGCAGGTTATTGCAGAGGGAAACAGGGAAGGGAGAGGGGCGAGAAGAGGCAGCGGAAGAGGGAGAGGAAGAGGGAGGGAGCAAAGCAGGAAAGGAAGGAGCAGATTCCTCCAACGTGGAGGGACGGGAAGAGGGGAGGGGAGGCAGGAGGGGAAGCGGGAGGGGAGGCTGGAGGGGAAGAGAGAAGAAGGGGTTGGGGAAGAGGGAGAGGGAGGCGAAGAGGGAGGGGAAGAGGGAG